GCAAAACGAATATTTTTATAAGGATTGCATCAGTGTCAAGGTAACCCAACATTAGACTGAGCTGGGATATCTTGGTCTCTTGTGACTGTTCAGATTAAATCTAATGTGCTTCTCCATGGAAACTGGCTTAGAGTAGAGGCTGGGTTTTTTTGTGCAAGTAAATGTGTTTTTTAACTACATTTTTATTGTTGTATGTCCTTACAGGCTGAGAACATCATGCTTTTGGAGTTAGACATGTCTCCCCCAACCATGTTCATGTTAAATCTTGATGGTACTCACCTGGAGAGAGCCTTTACACCGAGGCTAATACACGATCCCCTGGCAAATGTTTTCTTTAGAGAAAGGACTGCATCACCAAGGGTCAGGAAATCTAAGTCCTGGTAAGAGAACAGCAAGTAGATAATTTCTTTATTTATGGCTCTAACTGAATTTTGCAGCAAAATTTTAGAAGAATAATTTTGTAATTTTGTCTTCAGTTTTCCTCTTTAATAAATTGGATTTCCTGAAAACATGTCCATGCACTTTACCATACATTGCACCATTCTGCTTTAAATACAATTCACATATTTTGTTTTGTTTTTTCATATCTCACCTATTAAATCTTGTGCATCATTCTGTGATATTAAAGATTAAAATATAGTCAGTGGTTTTTGCAATGGTTTGCAGGTATCAGGCACCACAAGCAGCATCTGTCACATCATCTTCTTCGTCCACCACTCTGACATCAGAACTTCAGAACTTCTCTCCGTCTCAGCGACAAAGACCTTCCTCAGCTGCCTATCTTCCACTGGGAAGTCCAACTCAGACAAGCCCCTGATTTATGTCGATTACACCTGTACTGTAGGGCCGGCCTTAATTAATGGTGGCACCAGTAACGTCTGGGAGAGATGGGGGGGGTGGCTATATGTCTTGACTTTAGATTGCTTTAAGTTCTCTTATGCAAAACGGTGAAGTAAGCATGTGTTCAGCTTAACCCAGAAGTTAACCTTTATTGATTTTTTTCAAATGCCTGACTCTTAAAAGTGATAGTTTGCTGTCTGGCTTAATAAGATTTGGCTTTTTTCTTTGTTGCCTAAGCCATGCAATTTTCTTGGCTTACACTGCCCTATCAAAATAGCACAGACGAGGCTTCCAGGCTTTTTTCAGCTAATAGGGGTGTATTTTAGTCCAGTTTGTATTTACTGAATCTGTCCCCCACCCCCAATGAGAACACTTAAATACTTTTTTTTTTCTGTTTAGCCATATATCAGTCTTTGCCAAAACACTGAAGGGTAATGGAGGTGGGGGGAGTGTCTGCAAGACCACTTTGGTTTAGCCTGTATGCTTGATGAATTGTTGCTTCAGTTTGTAGCCAGTGTAATTGTAAGCCAAAAATGTGAAGAAAGCTTGCAGTGCTCTCTATATCAGCTGCCTTATTTTTTCATAGTTGTGAAATTGTGCAAAGTCCATTTGCTTACACATGAAAATAAAGAGACTTAAACAGTCTTAAACTCATTATTATATATATATATATATATATCCTCCTTTCTCGTCATAATTGCAGCTGGCAAATGTGTAAATACATGTGGGAAAGTTGAGGACTTGGAATGACAGCTACATACAGTAAGATGACGTTTCTTTTAGAGTCACATGACTCTTTTACAGTAAGTCCAACATGGCAGACGGAGTGGATCTTACGCGGTAACTAAAGCAACATTTTAACTGAAACAGAAATTGAAGACTACTCTGCAACAGGACATTCGCAATGAGGGAGAGACAGAAGAAGAAGAAGGGGAGGACGTGGGCGGAAGCAGCGAAAACGGTATTCTTGGTGTTTTATGTAGCGTTTGTTGTGGTTGTTTTCCTTGAACGCTCCCACTTGTACAACTGTGTTTATGAGTTCACGACCTGCTGGTGAAGATGAAATGTTGCGTGCACCGCGCAAGGCCTGTGTTGACGGTTCGACATTTGGAAAGACCGCTGTCACTACTAGCCTTGTAGCTTTCATCAAGTGGCACCTCAAAGCATAAATACAGCGAAATAAATATAAGTCATGTGCACCCAAGCATGCCTCTGAACCCACTGTATGTGTTTTGTGGGGATAGTAAGGCTGACAGGTCTCGTAGGATATTAAGTCCAATGAAGTAACCGTGAAGTAATCACGCCAATGTTGCGCGCTAGCGCGACTAGCATGGGCTAACGCCTGCTAACGCAACTCTGTTCGTCAACAAGTTTGATTTGTATTATTTGGAAATAAACCACTACAAAACCTCCTGTTTCCGTAGTTAAAGCAACCCAAGAGCAAACTACTTAACTACAAAATCGATGACAAAGTCCGTCTAGTCATGCTAGCGTTTTGCAAGAGTACAATATATGTTGTTAGCATTGAGCTAGCTGACAGCATAGCATGCTAACGAGTATAAAATTATCAAAACGTCCAATAGTAATTTATAATTTAAGCACATTGCAATCGGCTGTAACGCCTTGCGTTAGTTTCATACAGGTATTTACACTTAATAGTTTGCGCACAGCGTGTAGTATGCTAACTGCATAGAAAATAAATAGCGATAACGTTTGTAGGACTCAAAGTTATGTTTCATTGCAGTGCTCAAAACACTAGCTAAAGTAATTCAAGGCTTTTCGAGAGGGTTTGGGAAAAGTGTAAGCGCTACATCTTAAGGTCACCCATAGTAGTTTTTTTAAATTACCGATTTAAAGTTGCTGATATGTTGTTGTTGTTGTTGTTATTATTATTATACTGTTATGAGAAGCTTTTATTGTCATGTTTTTTTTTTCAGCCAACACTCAGAGAAGTGAGATGTTACAGCATAAGGTGGTGCATCCACCTCAAACCCAAATGAAACTTTAATTTACCACCCCTTATTTATTACTAGACGGATTCTGTGCATTTTCTCCAGAGATTGCAAAATATTCATGCCAAATATATTTCTAATAGTGGAAAAAAGAAAGAAATACAAAACACAACTGTGCTGTGCTTGTTGACTGGATCATTTTAACCATAATACAAACTAGTTGAGTTTTTGCATAAATTGCTCAGGCTTTAAGCTAAGATTGAGGAAATCGTCCTGGATCAGGCAAGTCTTGCATCGAAAATCAATAAAAATCAAGACAAAAACCCTAAAAAGGCACACAGTCATTAGAACAAATAACAATTAGTAGATTAAAAAAAAGCTTCAAAACCTTTGCCACTTCTCTGTCAGTCAGTCATGAGCACTTTGCAGTTTAACTGACAGAGAAACAAATGGATATTTACAGTGGTTATACTTACATAAGGGGAGCCTGTACCTCCTACTACAGATAAAATCCTGTTAGCTTGCCGAACAGTACAGAAATATCTTGGTGAGTGAGGAGTGTTGTTCCTATGGTTATTTATTTTAATTTAATTTTACTGATGTGTAAAAAATGTGATATCTTTAATGAAGTAACCTTTGGGCTGCCTCTTAATTTCTGAATATTTTTCCTTTAAATAATCTATCAGCAAAATATAATCATCTGCATTTTTATTTTCTAGGTTCTGGAGAAGTACCCTAATACACCTATGAGCCATAAAGAGATCTTGCAAGTGATCCAAAGAGAAAGACTTAAGGAAATAAGGTACACAGGTCCTTGTTGTCATAGCTTTGGAGCTGCAGATACACTTCATATCTGAGACATTTTCATGAGAGCACAACAGGTGTCATCTGTCATTTCTCAGCTGCTCATATCATGTGCCTTTTTGTTATTCACATAGTCACAGTTACTTTACTCAATTAATAATTGTTTTATTTCTTTTTGTTTCACTTTCACTATTCTCATCCAGAAGGTAAGAAAAAGTAGCCCCCACCGCTTATCTTAACAAACTCACAGCAATGCAGGTTTGTTTGGAGTTGCCTTTTTGCATGTTAATAGGAATAACATGTTCTAGGTGAGGTTGCATAAAAATGCAATGCTACGTTCATAGTTTGAGCTTCCACAGCCACCTGTTGCATAAAAATTACATTTTCATTTTTTTTCCGATTAATTAACAAAATAAAAATTAGAAATATTTAAGCATAACTAGAGTAATTTCCCAAAAATTAAAAATAGACTTTTATTTTTTCTGGTAATTATATTGTTCAAAGCCTTATGTGTTATACTGTGTAAAGCAGCACAAATGCAATTTGACCAAAAAAAAAAGTAAGGTTCAATTTGTCAGTCTAGATTTGTGCATGACTTAAGCAAAGCTTGACAGATTACTTTTTTTGCAACAGGCATTTTTATGTCAGACCCCTTTATTCTGTGAATATCGGTCCATCACTTTAATTAGATGAGCAGTGGATCAGTTTTCTGCAGCTGATTTCTCATAAAGCACAGAGCAAATTTCCCCTCTAACTGCACTGATGCAAATCTGACCTAAACTCACACATGTTTTCCTGATGCATGATAGCAGCTTCTCCCAAGTTACCAGACCAACCTCTCCCCTTCCTTCGTCTTTTCCCAGCCATCTGATTTATGGGGGAACAGATGTGTAAACTGTGTTTTTCCTCTTGTGATCCAGCGGAACTTCACCACTGGCGTGTCTGAATGCAATGCTGCACACGAACTCTCGTGGTGAGGAGGGAATCTTCTACAAAGTTCCGGGCAGAATGGGAGTCTACACATTAAAGGTTTGTGAGACACAAGGCACTGTTTATTACTCAGCCAATACAGGAAAAAAGAACTAGCACATGTTTTTCTTTGCTAATTGCAGCTTTTCGGGTACCTGGACACAAATTAAGTTATGAATGTACATGCTGTAACTGGTCATTTTCTTATTTACTTCTGCTTAACTGTTCCTCCGCTCTGTTTCCTGCATAAAAATAACATGGAGTCTTTTGCTCTGTTTTTCATATAGAAGGACATCTCAGATGTGGTGAAGGAGCTGTCGGAAGAGGGCTCTGAGGAGAGCAGTGACAATCTTTCTGACTCTCGAAGCTCAGAAAACAACAGTAGTGCTATCAGTCAAGAGGGCAGGAGAGGAAGGTGGATGCGAAGAGGTATTGTGCCCTTGCATACAGGTTCTTTAATTAACTTACACATGACCATAAATTTTAAAGTCACTTGTTTGCAATGAGTTTCCAGACATTTCTTTGTTGCAAGATAATTTGGTCCTACCTTTACCGCTACAACATTAATATGTGCTGTCTGTTTGTAATCTAATTTGTAATTATGGCTTTTAAAAAAAAAAAAAAAAAGTACTCATTGTAATTATCATAACTCACCATTGCATTGAAATACTTCATAACACAAAAATGTGTGCTTTATATGAAGTATTTTTTATTTAGCTAAGAATGATGAAGATTTTAGCTGTAACTGTGAATTAACATAATTGATGTAAAGCAGTAAATTCCGTTAAAGTAAATATTTGATAAGCAGGCTACTCATCATCACATTTCAGACATGCCAAAAATTTAGTTGTACCTGTAGTCTCAAATACAGTTTTGGTAGGTCTTTTAGTTTTAAGTGTTCACCAGGAATTCTCAGAGGGTAAGAAAATCATATTCTATCAATATGTAATGAATATTTGTTTTTTAACTTGTGACAGCAGACTGCTCAAACATTATGGTCCAAGTCAGTGTATGAACTGTACCAGTGCATACTTGTAGTGGATGAAATTTGCAGCTGTAATTTTGAAATGCACTGCAGGATGGCTGATTTACTCTACTGAATAGTAGACTACAGAGTGAATAAATGGGCAGTTTGAACAGTCAGATTGTCTGCCATGAAGAAAGGGTCTCATTCTTAATAGCTCGATTACATGTTTAGCTTATATTTCCTGCAGATTTCAAACAAAATTATCCATCCATCTTCCTCTGCTTATCCAATTTCGGGTTGCAGTGGGGCTGGAACCTAATCCAGCTATTACAGATGAAAGGTTGGGTACACCCTAAACAGGTTGCCAGTCTATCGCAGAGCTAGTTGATGGAGCCACACAACCATTTGTGCTCACATTCAACATTACACCTTAGATTTCCAGTATAACTAACTCAAACTAGCTAACCTGGTTAAGCTAGTTTTAGTTGCATGTCTTTGGACTATGGAAGGAAGCTGGAGTTTGCAGTGAGAAGCTGATTTTAGATATGAAATCTAATTAACTTTTGCGCATAAGATTTTGGAAGTACCCATCATATTCTTTTAACACTTGAATATCATTATAATGTATCAGTGCAATCTCTGGAATGTTAACTATTTCCCATTAAAACAGTTTTAATGTGGGTTTTTTTTCCTGAAAATAAACAAGAAGGTGATATGAGAGACACAATAAAGCACATTTTCAGCGCACTTAAAAATGTTTGAGGCACTTGGTTTTTTGCTTGTATATCTGTCTCTCCTTGCAAGAATTAACAGTAATCACCCTTCATCCTCGGATTAAATTTTTCCTGATATCAGTTTTCCATCACTTTAATATCTTGATTAAATTTTTCACCATGCTCATCACTGACATCGCTCAGATTTGATGGAAAGAACGTTGACAAAACAATAACATCATATCATTAACTGATATGATTTCAGCATGTTAAACACAAGTTCTCTGCTCTGAGATTGCCAAGAAAATTCTGGCTACTTGCACAAATGTTTCCTATGCTGCTGATCCAGCTGGCTACAATTTCCTTTCAAACTCATTGTCAAGCATCAGTTCACGGATTTCAGGACTAACAAAAACATCTTTGTTGATTTTGGCTTCACTTTTCTCGAGACCAAACTTACATCTTAAATGTTGAAACACATTGCTGTGTGTGTTCAGTCATCCCAGTTGTCCAGTACTTGGAATGGCTTAACCAGATGAAAATGGTTTTCAGATTTGGGGTCAAAAAGTACATTTTGAAAAACAAAACACTTGTTGATCAGTGTTATAGATTTGAAATATGTCACCATTATCTAACTTCCAGACCACCTATATAGATTAACAGTGAATACTACTTAATAAAGCACTGAAATGTCTTTACTAACTCCTTAAACACCTTTAGATGCAACCCCTGTTGACGTTTATTAAAGAGTGAGCGTGTGTTTTTTGCTGAAGTGTCATCACTGTTCATCAGTCAACAGAGAAGGAAAAAACCCCATCAACAGATCATAATGCAATAATGTTTGGCTTTTTTTTTTTTTTAGGTGATTGTAGCTGATTGGTTATGCCAGTTAGAGTTAACACCCCCCTGTCAGCTGATGATGTAGGTTATTGTGGAAACACCGGAAACTAGCTCAAGTCGCATTAGACATGCCAAGTTGGAAAGTGGTTTTACCACAAACATAAAATACACCACCTCATCAAAAACATTTCCTGGAATACACGCAGCACTGAACATGATGATAGCGAAAGGTGGGTTTTATCTTTGAGCTTTACTTTGTCCTTAATGCTGTCTGATAATTGTTCACCAAGAGCCTGCTGGCAGTGCACAACAGCCACATTACAACGGTTTCTGATCTTTTGTGATTCTGTGGGGTTAAGATATTGCTTTATTGTGAAATGAACACCTGATTGTGCCTGATTACAATGCGGTTTGAGAGAGGGAGCTTTTCATCAAGTGCCAATTATTTTGTTTTCCTCAGGTTGTGGTCTTACCGATTCTTATTATTTCTCACTGCCACTTGAATAACTTAAGTGACGGTTAAAACAGGAAACTGATTTTTCTCAGTATGACCCGTGACCACTTCCTCATTATGCACAACTTAAAAGTACCAAGCAAATAACCTTGGTTTACAGCTGAGTAGGAGGGCTCTGATATTGCTTTATTTTTGAAATAATCGATGCAAAGGACTGCAAAGTCAAATGCAAATTAGGCAGCACTGGGAAGGAACTGCTGCAGAATGTAGAAAGATGTTCTGTAAGAAACAGAAGGCAGATAGTAGGAGGGGGATTGTTCTGAAGTTGAGCTCATTTTTAACAATACGATATTTTAGTAAGGTAATGTAATCTGCTTCTTTGTCTACAGAATTGGTTTCAGTTTCGCCAAAACAAAAGCACAATGTTATAAAGTCTGCACACCGCCCTCAGGAAATGTATTTGGTAACATCTGTTTTGTGCTTCTGTATTTCATAGTTCCCTCCAAGCTGCAGTCACAGCCGTCGTCTCCACAGCCTCGATGCTCGTCGCCGTCTGTCCCCACCAGTAAGCTCATCTCTCCCTCGCAGAAACACAGCAAGAAAGCTTTGAAACAGGTACAGCAAACAACATATATTTCTTGTTGTTTTTCTTTTTTAAACATACATTTAAGTTGTTAACTTATCCTCCCTACTCAGATGAGTAACATGAGTTCCTGCCACACCCCACTCCCATATAAATCACTCCCTCTGTGTTCTGCACTATGCAAATCCACCCTTTTGTTTTTACATCGGTATACAGAGTGTGGAGTCTTAGACTTGGGCTCTTTTTGGGCTACAATGAGCAATTAAATTTGTATGATTATGTTCATTACTTTGTTTTAATTGGCAGCATATAACTCAATGGTAGTGTTTCAGCTGGTGTTCTTTGTTTTTTTTTGTTCTCTATCTGACGTCTTGCTGATTATTTCAAACATCAGGGAGAAATGCCTGTAGCTGTTTTTTTGTTGTTTTTACAGTATTAATGTTTTCAAAGAACCCATTTCCCATTGGCTGTCTTTTGCCTTTTGTGTTCCATTTAATTAGATTTAATTTGATTGCACACATTGTAATTCACTCCATCTGTGCTGGTGTGAATTTGTATTCATTATTTGGGCGTAGGTAACACTACAAGATGGCGACTTGGCTGAAACATTACTGGACGGATCTGTTTATTGTTTCCTATTTTATATCTTATTGTGGTGGACCTCCTTTCTTTGCTTCTTTAAACGTGTAGAGAAATTTGTGACAAATTTGATCTGACTTGTTCTCAGATTTACAGCAAGGCGAGGATTTATGCCTCTGTTATGCAACCTATGTTCCATTGCTCTGCTGTTATTTAGCTGTTATTTAACCAGGCAAGTGGCCCTTGGGGAGCAATTGCAGGGAAACAGAGGGTTACACATATTCACACTCTGTTTTTCTCATACTGCTGGCTATTTGTGTCTTTCTGTGTTGTTCATTTTAAGGCCCTAAAGCAGCAGCAGCAGAGAAACCAGCGTAGACAGGGGGGAATGCCAACCTCCTCCAGTCCAAGACTGCTTCTGAAAACCCTTAAAGACATGGCAGATAACATTACAACAAAAACTGGTAGGTGGTAACTCTTACATTGCCAAATTGTTGGATAGTTTACCGATGTTAATTGCATGATATTACTCACAGTTTTGTAGATAGATGATGGATAGTGATGTAGTTCTGGGAATTATCCTGTTTATTATTGCAGGTTTTTATAGCTAGACTACAAAAGGTTATGTATCATCATCATCCAAACATGACTCATATAATTGGCAGCTTTAATGTGGAAACTGAAGCAGTCAGATCTCTGGCTTTCATTTCTCAGAGCATTTCCTTTAGCTCCTCTTCTTCTTTCCAATCAGATTTATGCCACCCAGTCGTACCCAGAAAGGTTCCCCAAAGGTCCAGTCGCCTCAGTGCAGGTAATTCAGACAATTGCTTTTATTTAAATCAGTTGTGTGGAAATTTTTATGATTTAATTATAATATTTAACAGACAAAAGTTAGCAATTAGTAGTTTCCCTGTAGTCCTGCTTTGTTTTTAAGAAGCAAATAAAAATACTCTTTAGGACAGTTAGGAGCACAATGGCACACAATAACAACCTCTTAGTGTATTTTAAATCACTCCCACATTAATCAGCCTGATAGCACAAATATCCATTAGTATGCCACAAACAGTCACAGACGCACTATTAATTCATATGTGAGTGAAATTTTCTAACATCGGGTTAACCAAATTATTTACAGTAAGAATTTTTGTTTCGAGTGTTAAGAATAATCTGACAGTTGGGTTTAACTTTATATGTTCAGCTTTTCTGTGTCTGCTTGTAATCTAGAATTAATTGTCTGCATAGTTATTTCTTAGGTGTAAGTAAAATTATTCTACTTTGACAGAAAACAGTTAAGTAAAACAAATTATTTTACTACATTTAAAAGTGAACTACATAATTCACAGTTGTTTCTTTGCATTATTGAATCTCCCTTGGTTTACATCTGTTTCCTGTTTTGTTTGTATCGCAGGGCAGATAAAACGTGCCAAGTATAAAATAGACGTGGAGACGCCAGACTCTATTTTGGTTAACACCAACCTGCGAGCAATCATCAACAAGCACACTTTCTCTGTCTTGCCTCCAGACTGCCAGCAAAGGCTGGTCAAACTTCTGCCAGAAGTAGACCGCCAGGTAGCCCTAAAATTATACATATGTTATAACGTTTGCTATTTATATTACATTAAATGTAAATGTGTAAGTAAAATTGTTGCTGTGTGCAGTATCTGTCAGTCATTATTTGATATATGCCTCATAAAATATCTTTTTAATCTCTGTAAAACATTTGTATGATTCTTGATGCAAATTCTATATCATAGGCAGAATCCAAATAAGGTCAATGTACCGATGCAGTGATGTTGATCGTCATGCTGTTAGTCATAACATTGTGCCTTCTCTCCTCAGGCTTGCATGGACGGCCTTCTGAAGGTCACTAGCTCTGCCTTAAACAATGAGTTTTTCACATCAGCAGCTCAGTCTTGGAAAGACAGGCTGGCTGAGGGTTAGTTCAAAAGCTTTCATTTCATAACTGCAAAATTCAATTCACATTAAAAAAAAAAAAAGCACAACACCAAGGTTTACATTTGCTCTTTTGTGACTCTTCCATTTTTAGGGGAATTCACTCCTGAATTGCAGCTCCGAATGCGCCAAGAAATTGAGAAGGAAAAGAAAGTTGAGCACTGGAAGGAAGCCTTCTTTGAAAACTATTATGGGGAGAAGTAGGTTCTCTGTTTCATTTATAATTTCTTGATCCACTAATCCTACCTAGTTCTCATGAACTTGGACATCATACAGTATCTTGCTAATCTGTCAGTCCAGCTGTTCGGTGGTCTCCACTTGGCAGGTGAAGATCTTTAGCCCCGAATAAGTGTGTCGTAGGTTTGGGGTTGTTTAGATGACCAATTCTAATATTTTAGCTAAAATTTTAGAATCTCTGTGTTCAGGGAGAATGAGTATGAGGCATGTTTGCTTGGCTTTTCTTGTGAGGACATGTATTGGTGTTATTGCTTTCCCGAGACTCTAACCCCACCTAATCCCAAGTTTAACCATCACAAATAAGTGTGACATCTTTATCCAAACCTTAACCTAAACCAACTTCTTACTTTAACTGTAAAAAACCCCATGTCTTCACTCTCAGAAAGCCCTTTGAAGGCTTTCAAAGAAAATGAGAGCCAAAAAGAGTTCTCAGTCTTACCAAAGGTCATCTAATCCTGACCTGGCAGAGTTTTTAATAAGATATCAGGACAGGTTTTATTTAATTTTCTTTATATACTGTCCTTGGTGTCCTGTATCAAATGATGCCTGGTCTAAACAGCCATAGCACAGTCACACACACCTTCAGTTAGTTCACTTTTACAGCTGTCATCTTTTCCATCATCCTCTAGGGGAACTTTAGGGGACATCAGGAAATTATATCTACAAAAACTGGCCTAGGTTACACCCTCCCTTAGCTTGCAGTGTAGTATTTTTTTCTTAAATATCAAAAAAGACTAAAATCTTAGTACTTGTAGTATTTACAAAAGGAAAATGGAACAGTCACTTTTCTTAAGAATATTGATTGAATATCTGTTTCTAAAGGATATTTACTTTCTGTATAACATATTGGAACAGATTAACCAAACAGGGCAAAATAGTATGTCAGTGCAATGCCCAGATAGCGCTCATAAGTGTCATTCGTTTTATGGATGTATGAATTTTTTCCAACAGTTTCACTTTTAATGCACAACTTCAGATTAGATTCTGTGATTCAAAGATTTGTCATTTGTTGTCAAGTTTGTTGTTAAAAATTAAGCAATTCATAAGAAAAAGAACAGATTGAAAAGTAAAATACTACAATGAATAAAACAATACTAGCTGATTAATAGTTTTTAGTTTGTTTGGGCTATTGTCATTTTCAAAGCTCTTCTTGTGTATTTTTTTTTTAAAATAATTTAAAAGATAAGTGTTTAATGACTTTTTCCTCATTCAAGAAAGACTTAATTCATAGATTTATGGGGTTTTTTTCTCTCTTTTTCTTTGTCTCCCTTTCTATTGTACAGTTCTGGGCTCAGCTATGAGGAATCCAAAGAGCTGACAAAGGCTGATTTGAATCAGGAGTCTGCCAGGCCTCAGTCCCCCTCTCATCAGACAGGACCTGTCGCTCAAGCACTAGAGGAATCTAAGTGCACCAAGGACAGCAGCCTGACTGATGCTCCTGCAAAAGACGTAAAGCCAGCGCAGACATCGTCACAGGAGCCTCTGAAAGCACTGCCTGCTCAAAAAGAGCCTGTCTTTACTGCAGAACCCATGAAGACGCGACGCTCACAGTATGCTGAGGATCGGAAGATGAATACAACTGCAAATACTGGACTGGCAGCAGCAGTGAGAGCACCAGAGGTTGAGAAACGTGGTGAATGGAGTGCAGCATGTACAGTGCCAGAAAAGGAGCGCAAGGAAGACATGAAGGAGGAGAAAACTGAACGCTCCCAGTTGTCTGTGGACAGCAGCCCTCCACCAAAGGCTAGTTCAGAGTTGAAAGAAGTTCAGTCGGTGTCTATGGTTAAGCCTGCTGCAGAGAGCGAAGAGATCATCTCTGAGCCCAGTGGCTCCTCAGAGCCACTGAAAAGGAAATCTCTCAGTGAGATAGAGGGTGAATTAACACCAGAGAAAAGACCCCGCATGTCGTCAGTTTCTTCAGTGTCTTCATTCTCATCTGCGTCTCCCTCAGCATCATCCATATCCAGCCCTGCTACACCAACTTCAACAACAAGTCAGAGGGTTCCACCACTAAAGGTAGGAATAAATGTGGCAGCTCAAAGTCTGCTCAGATCACTCTATTTTCTGAGCGGACCTGACAGGTCTGTAGCTTTATCTTTTCAGAGTTGGGAAACTATACTTGCTGAGTATATTGTTAGTCTCACTATGCTCCAAAGACTTAGAGTTTTCCCAGTAAATCCCAGAGTTTGTTGTTTTGTACGTGTGGGAAAATAAAATAGGATACAGCTTGAAGCCTATTTATATTGTTATATGTTTTTTTTTTTATTTATATTTTTTATATATACAAATGGGAATTCATCTCCGTTTTGTTTTTTTTCCCATTTTGCAGATCCCAGTATCACGAATTCTTCCCTTGCCTGTGTCACCTAGCCAGATCTCACCGAGGACTCCCCTCCCAAGCCCACTTAGTAGCCCATGCCGTACTGGTGCTCGCACTTTGGCAGATATCAAAGCCAAAGCTCAGCTTGCCCGAGCACAACGTGCAGCAGCAGCAGCAGCATCATCTGCTTCAAAGGGGGCAGTGCCAGGCCCAGGGCCAGGTGGAGGCAGTAGTGAGCAGACACACCACTTATCCAGCCCGACATCCCCACAGGGATCTGCTAGGTTAGCAGCCACACAGTTTAGTATATCTTCTCCTTGCCAAGTGGACTCTTTTGGTCCATGTAGCCCAAACCAGTCTCAGAAGTACTTAAGCAAAACTGAAGAAAAACATACAAGTCTTTCTGCTGGTACAGTCAGTACAGGAATCCATAGCGTCCAAAAGAGTTCAAGTGTATCAGCACAACCATCATTGGTGCATGCTTCAAAGGAACAGGAAATCCCATTAACTGCTGGATCAACAACCAGAATCAGCTCCTGCATCCCTGCAAACAACCCGCTGGTCACTCAGCTTCTGCAGGGCAAAGAAGTTCCACTGGAGCAGATCCTCCCAAAACCGCTATCCAAGGTGGAAGTAAAGATGTCAAACTTCTCCTCTGGTACTATGGGAAAGGCGTCACATTCTGCTGAGCACAGGGCTGAGAAGTTCAATACATCAGGCCGAGCTGGTGTTTTCTCAGAAAACACAAAACATCACAGGGAACTTCCTGACAAGGAGACTCAGGAGCAGATCCTACAGGCTCTAATGCAGAGGAAAGTCCAACAAAGTCAGCCTTATGGAGGGGGTGTAGGGCCTCAGTCACCTCAGTACAAAGTTCAGCAACTGATGCACGCAGAAGAGCGACAGGATCAATCCAGGATTTCTGTTGGTTTTTTGGGTCGAAGGAGGATGCCAAGGCCTGCCATGACAGGACATTACCTGCTCAATGTCTCCACGTATGGCAGAGGATCAGAGAGCAGGAGACTTCACCTGTCTGCCATTCCAAACACAACTGTAACCAGCACAAAAAGGGAAACCACAGAAGCAGAGGACGCAGCCAAGGAGGACCAACCAGCCAGGAAGGTTTTTCTGTTTCCTTCTGGGGTCAAAACAGAGCAGCAAAGATGCTCAGTAGGCAAGTCTAATGAACCAGCGGGCTTTCAGCATCACTATAACATAAAGACTGAGCCTGGATCAGAGTATTTTGAAGCTGGTGGTGATAACAACAACACCAGCGCAACCACCAAAGACACCAGCCCCTTTTCTCAATCACACCGAAGGCACCTCGAACTCTGCAATAGTAATCAAGGAAACTCCGAGCCATATCTTACCCACGTGGATCCCAGTCACCAGCGGCCGACTGCCTTTCAATCCCAGAGAACACTCGATAATCAGGAACCCCCGGTAGCGTCATGCTACGGTGGCACTATCAGCATGTCCGTACCTCACACTTTGAACCGCAGCACTGCAGGCACCGGCTCTTCCACATCCTCATCAGAAGCTGATGGTGGTGGCATCCACGGGAGCGTTATGTCCTTCTCAGTGACTGTTACCACCATACCTGCTGGTCACTCATTAGACCACGGCCACCAGGGCGAGCCCTCACCTGAACAGTCATTCATTGAGGGCTCCAACATGGAGGACGTCCAGTCTAAATGCTACTGCCGACTGAAGGCAATGATCATGTGCAAGGGGTGTGGAGCTTTTTGCCATGATGACTGCATAGGCCCCTCAAAACTATGTGTCTCGTGTTTAGTGGTACGATGATATTAAATTAACAGTAACAAAAAATTGGTTAGAGTTGTATTGTCACAGCACAAAGCAGAAGCAAGTGTTTTAGAATCAGTGCATAATAGGCTGAAACATGTTAAGTCACACTCTGGAGAAAACGGCTCTAGGATCGGTTCGTTGTGGGAAAGGCAAGGATTTACACTGGATGGTCTTGTTTTTCCACTAACATCTAAGAAAAGTCGTTTTGTGCAATTGTGTCATAGAAATGCCAATCCATTTTCAATCAAATGTTGTCAGATATGTGAGAAATGAAAACTGGCAGTGTTTGCACTTGGCTAGATTAGTGTGATATATTTTTTAAAATATATATTCTAGTTTTTTTTTTTTCTTTTTGTTTTTTTTGAGGAGGGAAAATGAATGTTGCTATTTTTTTTTTAGAACATAATGACTGTTGTGCTTTAGACTGACACTTTTTATTATTGGTCCTAATCAGTTATGGTTTAACGGCAAAAAAAAGAAGAAAAAAAAGAAGAAAAAGGGCGCTAATGATAATCATTTGATGTAGAGTACCTCCTATTTGGCATTTATGCATGTGTGGCAGGGAAATGCAACTTACAGTAACTATTTTATATGAAACTGTACTTTTATTACTGAACACACTCAGATTTAAGAACTAGAAATGAGCATGTATAGTTTTAGTAAGAAGATATAGAGTGATTTTTGAATTATACTTTATATAAATCAACCTGACTTGTTTCCAAGGCAAAGAACTCGAAAACCATCTGGATATAAAGTAATAACAGTGTACAGCACTTAAAATCAAACCTAAAGAAAAGAGAATCATATATAATTCCTCTATAATCCTTGTTGGTAAATTAAGATCTTTTCACTTCCAATGAAGGTCTGAAGTCACTTCCTACTGCGTGAATCAGCATTTCCTCCCCAAAAATCAGGTTTGTGGATATGATCTCCCTTGGTGTGGGATTTCTAATGCTTGTGCGTCTGTATAGGTAAATCAGCAGTGGCAAACTTAATTTAAACACTCAAGGCGGGTGGAGAAAATGCTGACAATTTTGTTATTTTGCTGTATATACTTGCTCATGTATGGTATTTGCCTAGATGTAGAAATATTGTTATTTTATTCGTGCTGCACACCTTGCTTGAGCATAACTGGCTCTTTATTTCAAAATTTTTTTCTTTTTTTGTTTTTGTTTTTTTTTTACTGTGGAATGAAAATAGAGAAGAACAGTGAAATATGCTAAAAACAGGTACAATATGTCACCAATACATCAATAAGTGAGTGTAACACTTCACTTTAACGTGGCCTTTTTCCAGGAAATTAAGAGAGTGATCCTCTATAATACTGTGGTTGGAAGTATTGTAAAAATGATATTTGTCACATATGTATTTAATCAACAGTAATTTGTCTTTGTGATGCACAACACATTAGTGGTGTCAGCACTTGTTATAACCTTTGCAGGCCCGTTATGATGATTTTAACATTAGTGCTTAGTGCGTACTGACTTGTAAAAAGGCCACTGTGTTTGAAGTGTTATCTCCAAAAGTTTTGTGTTTTTGCTGGTTACAAATATTGACACATCTACTATATTTTAGAATCTCCTGGAGGTACAAAACACGACCTCTTTTATAGCAATTATTTCCAAGGTAGTATGCCAAAGTCACCTTAAAGAAAACAAAAAATAATCAGAAGTTGTTTTTAAATGTCTGACTAGTTAATCAAAGTAATATATTTTAATTAATATATTTTAATATAAAAGATCTATTTGCTAATTGTTTTTGACAAATCAACAGGGTATTTACTATATTAATATATTGGCTGTCCCGTTCTTTCCTATAGTGTTTTTTTTTTCTAGGCTGGACAGACCACCGTGCAGAATAATCACTTTTCAAATAGTCCAGGTATCTGATATTCTGTATGGTCCGGGTTTTTTAGTGAATCCATTGGTCTATATTTTTCAATGAAGATGTTGTCTAAAGTGTAGCTTTTACTTGTCTATTTGCATCATCACTTTATGAAAAGATAATGTTTTAATGCACCATTTAAAAGTCATTCAATTAATATAGTTTTATTTTTTATTTGGTGGGTGTGTCTTGTGGAAAGTTATTTTTGAGGGCTAGAATCTAGCAGGAGTTTCACAAGGCATAGAAATTTCACTTATTAATGACATAATGATGTTTGAGTTAGTGATACAGATGTCTTTTTTATTCTCATTTTTGATCCCCATTAAACATTTACGTCATATTTGGTTGAAAGTGATGTTAGAGTCCTGCTGGACTGGATTGCACTGCAAAAAATATTAACAACAATCATTCTCAATCCTAAAGGCAGCTGAAATTTTGGTTAATGATGACTGAAACATGAGTCAAACAGCAGTCCCAATCAATACTAAGGCTAACTGTGTGTGTGCATTTGGATGTGTAGAGCACATCATATAGAAAATGGCTGGAAGAAGGGAAGGGGGGGGGGTCTCCACTTTTTTTCCCCTTCTTCTTTTAATGTCATGTTTGACACTAGGTGAATTTCTTAAATGTCAGTGTCATTTTGTCTCCATTTAAAACTCCAGGTGAATGTAATATAGTAATCAGAACTTGTAAACAAAGTGTATTTTATCAAAGTAATAGAATATTATGAATAAATAATAATGGAAAAAGTTTCTTCTGTGAGAAAATTTGTGTGTTTTTTTTTCTTTTTTTTTTTATTTTTTTATATATATATATATATATATATATATATATATATATATATATATACACTTTTTTTTTTAAAAAGCACAATAATGTTACGACCCCTCCATGGGCCAGTCTGAAAAAAAATTCTGTTGCTCCAAAGTTTGACATAATAACCCTGATTACTGTAGCTGAGTTATCCCTGACTGTCTTAGAAAAATGTAAAAAAGAAATGTGGTGGGGTGTCTCCTAAAGATCTCTGCCCTTAGGAGGGATACATGTTTTTATATGAGGTCACCAAACTGTCACAGTTGGGGAGGGGGTATTATTTTCATTAAATAGCTTCAAAAAATAAACTATATTTAATTTAATATTTAAAAACATTTGGGGTCAGTATATTATCCACAAGAGTCCAGTTGTTGAATAAAGAACAGGAACACTCTATGACGCTGTTGAACTGCATTATGGGAAATGTAGAGCCCAGGAGTTATGGAGCTTGGTTCTCCAGACAACTAGAAAGTCATGATACTTTTTAGAAAGTATTTGCGCCGGCCACATCTCTTTCTTTCCCCTCTTTATGAAAGTCCCAAGCTGCTGCAGTATCCCTTTAAATGAGTCTAAATGAATTCTGTGCTTCTTCCTATTCAGTGTATAATATTGGGGATTATATTTCAGAGTAACAGCGGTATTAATAATAGTAGTGCGCCTTTAACCAGTGTGCGTGCGCACATGCGTAAAGTGTACTAGTAGTTGGTCGCGCATGGCATCTTCGTGCCTGCTTGTATCTACTGTCCTCTGCCGCTGGGTCGCTGACGATGCCGAGCGGAGCAGGGCGCCTCTACGTTTCTGTGTGCGGCTACAACCGCAGTTGCGAAGACTGAAGTCGGATGAGACGGGAGAGAGGCTTGAAAAACGACGATGGATGGTCCGAGCTGTTTCTCATCGCCCGGACAGCTTTAACATCAGGGGAAACGCGTGGATTTATTAAAGGTGAGAAGTGGGGCTGTCCAGCACGGAGGAAATATCCCCCTTATTCGCCCATAGCCACTTACATCCTCCCTATCTGATGCTGCTGCTGCTGCCACCGATGATGATGATGCTCTAAACGCAACCTGCGCGATTTTCCTCCGGTAAAGGCCAATTCCCCGCCATGTATCTTACTTGGCTGTGGAGACACCAGTAGGGTTTGAAGAAATGCAGAATTGTCATTGTTTGTTAACCAAAAAAATACAAATTAAAAAAATAAAAAATAAATGTATGGACATCACGACACACATTCCCCACTGCGGAAATAAGGTAAATAGGCGGTTAAATCAGCAACATGGCTGCGTTGATGCTCTGCCGTCGCTTTAGAAGTGATTTTTAAGTGTTGCGGTGCTGCTCAGCGTTAGAATTAAGGCTCGTAGAAAGGGAGAAGTGAATGATATCAGCGGCGGAGAGATACTGCAGTAACCGAGTCCTTATGTTGACTCGCGTCAAAGGATGTTGTCATTACCTTGGAGCTGAAGGTGCGGTTACAGTAAAATGCACCTTTCCAGGCCTGTGATGATTACTACACAGTCTGACTTCACTGCAAGCATCTGACATCCAAATTATTACGAGCTTGTGATTGTTTATGGGGAGATGAATAAATGGCACTAGCCAGAAATCCCATTGATCGGGACCGGTGAAACAGTGATCACACCGACTGTGATCTGAATGTGCTGAATTTATTTTGGCATGAATTATTAAAAACTTCCATCAAATAATCAACTTAACCGTTAAACTGTCATCTGCTTACAGGCTCTGATTACACGTCTGTGAACACGAACTGCCAGTGTGCAACCCTTGTTGCATACTCATGAATTTCAGCAGTTACCTCATAGAGGGAATTTATTTACAATGAACCATTGTGATATTTTGCTGACATGTCTCTGCTGGGTCTTCCACTGCATAACCAATGTTTTTTAACCATTTTGCCAAAGGGCAGCCGTGCCTCTTTGACATATCTGCTCTAAAAATGCCCCCAAAGCTCTTTTTTTTCTCTATTTAGAATCACAATTATGATATATAATTGGTCTGACTTTATCCAAACTACCATGCTTTGCCAGCTCCAAAGGCATGTGATGGTGTTTATAAGCACTGAAGCTGATTTTTGACTATTGCACAGAGTGGTTTTGCTGCTTGTGAAACGAGTGGTTGTTGTCAAAGAGCTGAAGATGAGTCATTCAGTTGCTCAAAAAAATTAATTATTTGGAAAAAATCTGACATTTCGTTTGGTTTTTCAAGCAAACATCAGATTCCCACAACTGGATTTTCTGCTTTACTCAACCCGCTGTTTAGGAAGTGGGAGGTTTTGCTTGTTAGAAAGCCAGGCTGTAGTTAAAGAAATCACCCAAAGCTGTCGTATGGCAAAAATATTGATTGAACATTTGAGAAAAATATCAGCAGATTGTTTGATGTTGAGAATAGTCTTTAGATGTGGCTCTTATTATATTAATATCTATTATTTAAAACTTAATTTCAATGAAGCGTCCCCTTTAAAATCTTTGCTGGCTCTTGTAAGCAGCACAGAGAAATGTTCAAGACAAGGGAGAGGTGCGAGTTTGTGACTGGAAATAGGCTCTGTCATAACATTAGAGATCAGTCTGTCTAAAACAAGGTTGGATAGAAGTGAAAGCAAAATAAAAAAAGGGGGGGGGGGCTTCTTGTCTACACACTTCGAACCTTGGCTTCTATGGTTTGCTGATCAGCTGAATGCCCTCAATTCACCATGAGAATAAGCAAGTAATCTAAACATGTTTGGGATACTCTTGAGTCCTTGGTCCCAGGGACACCCAGTGCTAATGGCTTATTGGCTATCCCTAATGTGCTCTGTGTCCGTCATCATTAAGTGGTTCCTTTGCAGCTCAGTCGGTGTCATTAGCCCACAGGATGCAGTCACTGCTGAGCGGGATGTCATAGAGAATTATCATTTGCACAGACCACAGGCACTGGAGTGCTCCCTAGCTGGCTCACCAGTATCTCTATAGGAGGCGATGGAGGGGGGGTTAAGAAAAGCACAAAGTGAGAGTTAATAAGTCCTTGAAGGAGGTAAACAAGGGAGGTGTTAATTACTTATTTAAAAGTCTACTACATTTTGTCAGCGTGAAATAGCTCATCTCTCGTAGTAATGGTGGTGTCGAGTCAATATCAAGACACCCTCGCTGACCTTTTTCAATTTGTTTTTTTTTCACAGGGTCAACGTTTAAGGCTTCACTTTGTTGACATACAGTGTGCGGCAGGTAAGTACTTTTAAAATCAGTGTGATATAATATGTCACATGTAAAGCATGTCATATAAGCGCTTGGTAAGCAGGAAAGGATACGGTGTCCATGTGCAAATTGTCTTCACGGTAAATTATTTTTGTCAGATAAGAAAACAAGTTCAAAAGAATTGGTGGTAACGGTAAATTAAATTGTCCTGTGTTTGAGAGAAGTGACACTGTAAAGAAGTGACTGGAATCACAATAATAAAAGCCATGGAGATGCTTTTGAAAAATAGTACAGAGAAAGAAGTGAATGAAGTAGTGAAACCTGTGTTGTTTCAAAGGGGGCTTTTCTTTCCCTGCTGAGCTGAGAAGAAAACATACACCAGCAGTGAATCCTGTTTGAAAATGCACAACAGAGTCAACAGTGAAGTTCAATCAGGCAGCAACAGTTAAAGCTGTTCAATAGGCATCTCTTCTTTGGTATCAGATAATTATTTGGGGGCATTGAGAAATATTTACATGCTCGTGAGTTTAGAGCTAAATAGATTTTGTCATCATATTTTAAAAGATTTGTAGAGATTGCAATTTCCTTGGCTTCTTGAGATTTTCT